TCTCTCTCTCTCTCTCTCTCTCTCTCTCTCTCTCTCTCTCTCTCTCTTTCTCGATTTCGATTTTAGAGATAAAATCTTCGTTTAATTTTATTCGATCGAATAACGGTTGTTCTCCGCGTTATTTCGTATATCGTAAAATTTAATAATTTTAAACTCGAGAAACTCGAATTCGTCTATGAATAAATATTATATTTCGTTGTATTTCGAGTTTTAAGATAATTGAAATTAATGACATCGTCGCGATAATTAAAATTAAAAGTTTAAGTTTTTAAAAAATTACAATCAGAAATATCTCAATCATCTTACCAGGCGCACGAGGAAGCTCGACCTAGAATCTGTAAATGGAAACTGCTGTTCATTCGTTCTCCCCTTCCCCGACGAATAATATTTGTTTCCACTGTTCGAGTTTGAAGAACTGAATTGAAAAAAAAGGGAAAATATGTAATTTTTCTAATCCGTCTAATTCGCGTGATATATCGCTTCCAATCTTTCTCATACGTTTAATTTTTTTTATTACGATTTTCAGCAGGATATCCATCGTTTCGTCTTCGTAAATGATAATTTGAATTTTTTTTAATATCTATAATACGATAATTTCACAATTTCTACGTTCCTAAATATCGTTTGATTCGAATTTTTCATAAAAACTAAATATCATAACTCGTTACGATACAATAAATTATAAAATAATTTCTAATTATAAAAATAAAGATTAAAGATATAATTTTGATATAAATATAATAAATATGGACACAACGATATTTATGCGTGAAAACTAGAAGATTAAAACTGAAGTTTATAATTAAAAAGTAACGTCTGTCGAAAGTTCATGAATTTGGAATATCGTTGCGAAAAGTTGAAAACACAAGGGCGTTTGATCGCGTATTTAGATAATGGAAAGGCTGGAACGTTCGGTTCAAGCTCATTCGTATTATTCCGACGGCGTATCACCGCTGGTTCGATCCACTGACGACACGATATACCGACGTAGTAGTATATCCAATAATAGATCAGCCGTTTATCGTTTCGTTCGTATATCCATCCAACGATTTAAACTCGATCGATCTTATTTTTGATCGATAATTACGATCGTTACGAGCCAATGCAAATTTCAAGGTAATCGACCTTTCTTCACCTTTCTTACCGCTTTTGAAAAAGCCATTCCATATTATTTTCTTTTCTTATTACACGTCGACCGTTGAAATAAAGAGGTAATTAAGATAAGCTTGCCTCGGTATATTATTACGCGAATACAACGTTAAGACGTAACCAGTTGATGCATCGCATACAATAACGCTTTAAAATTATTGGAAAACGATTCGAAAGCGAGGAGAAACATAATTGTTTCTCGATTATTAATTAATCGAGAAACAATTTAAAAATATTATTTATATTTATATTTATATTTACACTCGCGTAAAGCGATTAATAACGGAGCCTATAATTCTGATCGACATGGCAATCGAATATAGGAACGTGCGAACAGTCAGAAATATCCGTCTTTGCCTGTCTATTAATATATCCGCCGTGCACTGAAATCACTCGTCTCTTGTGACATGTAGGTTCGTAGGAAATGCAAATAGAGTTTCTAGGACAAATTTTATTTTTTTTCCCCCGATAAGCTATAAAGGGAAATGGTCTCGCTCGAAACGTCCAGTTAACCGGAAAAATAATAAACGCGGTTTCAAGGATGAACGAAAAGTAAGCGTTTCCTCGCACTACCTACGTTTTTTCCATATATATGTCCAATCAACCACTAATCGCGAATTTAATCGACCACTTATTTCTTATTTTTTAAAATTACAGTAACAATTGATCAAGGAAATAACAAGATGTTTCGTTTCTTCTCTTATCGAAATAAACAACGGTAAAAAGGTTAAAAAATTTCTTCTTAAAAATTTCTATTAAATTTAAATTAATTTCTAATAAATCGATAAGAATCGTTCGAGTAACTCGATCGAAAGGACAATGACAATTCTTCTTGGCCAAATATCGAATCGTGGAGATCATCGACTGTCGAGCATTTATTTTGAAATCGTAACGTAACGATTCACACGGATCGTACGATCCATCATTGTTTCGGATCAATTAGGAAGTATACGGATACGTAGACAGTATCGGAATTCGAAATGTACGGAAATAGATCGGTTGCGCAACACGCTTGGTAAATTAAGATTGTGACGCGGGCGGATGCCATACCGATGTTTATTGCAAGACTTTTAAAACAACGCGCGTGAATATCGCGCGAAACGAAACGATGAATCCAAATATAAGAGGTCGTCGGAAAATGCGAATCGCCGACTCTCCTCTCAATAGCGGCCTTATTATACCCGAAATTTCTCTTCAAATTTGTCTCGATCTACGTTAAGCGTTACTTTCTTTTTTGGAAAAGGATCAGGTAAAAAAAGATCATCGATCGTACACCTAGCACATACGATACAATAAATTTATATTATTTATGTGATAAAAACAGAGACACTTATTGAGTACAAGTATATCCGATAAACTTCGACAAGGAATAAGCAGAGACCGATTATCGAGGAGAGTCATTCGTTTCCTGCTTTTCTTTATTTTTCGCGGGCATTTCTCGAAAAATACTTCGTTGATTATAAAATATAAATATCAAGATCAGTCTGAATTTCTTTCGACGTCGAATCGAACGATCTCTCGATCGATTTGCATTTACGATTTGCATTATTCATCGTATTTCTTTATTTCATTCGATTCAGATTAAGATATATACGCGGAAAGAAGGGAGGAGAGATGGGTGAAGTTGGTCAGTTTAGTCAATTAGTCGGCACGGCGCGTAACGGAAAAGGGAAAATGGTGGGGGGAGTCCGGCCAGTGGCGCGGCCGACAGCGAGATACGACAACTATATCGGGCTCCGTCGTGGCTTGATCGGCCCACGAGGAAGACGATCCCCGCTCATCGCTCTCGCTGACTCGCAAGGAATTTTGTTATCGAGCCACGAACCACGGTGAAAAGGGAGAGAGAAAGATCCCATAATCCCTGTTTTAAGGTAATCGTCCATCGAGGTGAGTGAGAAACAAATTATTTTCCATCGCGGAATCGATTCGTCTATGATCCGAATCGAGAATGGGGCTTCGACTCGAGACGAACAGCTTGGAATAGAGAGAGAGGGAGAGAGAGGGAGAGAAAGAGAAGGGAAGAGAATGCGATTCCTGGATCGTGGTATGCGGTATCGCGTTAAAGTCGGTCGTGCGCGAATGCGAGCGACAAACGGCGTGGAACGAGACGGCGAAGAAAGAGGCGGCGAGGTTTTTTAGTTGGGAGACGGGCACACGGCAGAGTGAGAGAGCGGGAGAGGCCGAATCTAGGGATTATTTCGGGATTGGCCAGAGATAAACCGGGCCAACATCGACCGAACGAAGTAAAACCACGAGTGAACGGAGCCTTGAGGTTTGACTCATCTTTCTCAACTCGAAAATTGGCTCCTTCCCAAAATTACGCACAACATCGTCGTAACGATGATCGAGTATTTCTATATTTCCGTTGTCTTCCCGATCTCCCTCTCCCTCTCCACCCCTTTCTTCTCTCTTCTTCGCTCGTTCGAAAACCTTCCGTTGTTCACATTTTCTTTTTTCTTTTTTCTTTTTTTACGTACAATCACGCGTATCCCAACCACGTGTATGGATCAATCGATCGATCGATTTTTTCGAAACGAGAAGTCGAACTCAAGCAAATGAAAATTTTATATTTCGACCGTTACGTCTCTGACTCGAGTTCAAAGTTCTTTGTTTTCTCTCTCTCTCTCTCGATTATCGCTAGAATATTCGAATTTATCTGGAAAATAAGAAACGAAGCATCTCGTACGATCGAAAGAAAATACATTAACCTCGTTGTACGATCTTTTTTATTACGGATATTTTTTTTTTTTCCAACTCTTCTTTTACTTAATTTACTATATAATTGTAAGAGTTGGTAAATCTAAAAAAAAAAAAAAAGAAAAAAAAGAAAAGAAACGACTTCGTCGCAAGAAATTTGACGCAAGGTCAGGCCGAGAGGCGAAATAGCGAAAGAATGCAGGTTCATAATCGTAGAATGGAAGTTGTTCGCGCGATAAACGGGAAACAATTTGGCTGCGAGACAAGAGGAACACCGGTGTTGCATTACGTCTGGTACGAAAAGGATGAACGCCAACCAGTGCCGACCCACTTGTTCCGATAGGCCTTACAGCCAATGCTCTATTCAATGCGCTATTTCGAAATAATTTTTTATAAATAAAAGAACATCCACCCCACTCGGAAGAAAATAATACGGCACATCTTTCTTTGTCGACCGTTCTATTTTTCTTTTTCTTTTTCTTTTTTTTTTTAATACGGCGCCCGATTCTTTTCACCGAGATAAAATTCATCGTGAAAACAGTTTAATAAACGATATTTATCGCTTGCAATAAAATAGCTTACTTCTAAAGATAGATATATATATTTCATTCGCGTCAGCATTCGCTTCGTGTTGACCAAAAAAAAAAAAATAAATAAATAAATTAAAATACGTTCCTTTTATTTATTGGTACTATTATTATTATATATATATATCGAATACAGGAAATTGATCATAATATCGTCATCGTTCCAGATGTCCGCGAAGCAGCTTTGATCGCTAAAATATATTTTAAGATATTTCGGAATGATATTTATTTTTTTATTCCGCATTCTCGTTCTTTTTAAATCGTGATATTAAATTTACGTAATGTTAGATTATATTTCTTCTATTATTTATTAATTAAATTATTAACATTATTAAAATATATATTTATCCTTTGGATAAATATATAAAATAGCTCGAATCGAGGGAAAATAGTAAAAAAATGATAAAATTTTCCTTATTTTGCAATTATAAAATATATATCTTTTCGTAACTTTTGAAAAAGTATATTTCGAATAATACTTGCATTATCTTTTTATTCATATAATAGAACACGTTATAACGAAAAAGAACGATTTCGAAGAATATAACAAATATTTCGAAGAATCGTGAGTCGTAAAACGCGTAAGATTTATAAGTATACGTATCTGTGAAAAAATTTTACATTCTTATTCGAGCGTTACACCGAACGATAGAAATAATGCGGCGATATCGCGGATTATGGCGCCAAATATGTGACAATGGCCGATGTCAGATGCCAAATATGTGATAGAACGATAGGTTAGGCGCCAAATATGCAAGAATACGTAAGTTGGAGCGCCAAATATGCGGACACGCGTAACACGCGAAGAAAGGAAACGGCAATCAATTTCGAATCGAATTAATTATTCCGAACTGAGGGATTTACTCTATATAAACTCTCTCTCTCTCTCTCTCTTTCCACGAATCTTTAGCATCGATTACAATTTGATAAGTGCGCAAATACATCGGAAGAAAAAAAATTGTTACGTAATAAACTTGTTTGCAAGTGACCAATTTGTTTCCAGGTTCCGGCACACCACCATCTTCGTTCGTTTCGTTTTGGCATTTCTTGTCCCACCTTCGTCATCTTGTACTTCGATTCTTGCTTAACCACCTCTTTCCGTAATGTTCTAGGGCTGACAGTAGCTATTTTCGTTTCTTAGCGACAATATACGTGTAGCGGATATGTACATTCTGCTTAAACCTACTCTATCCAAATGTTATGTACGTAAATCTCATCATAAACGGATTTATAATTTATAATATATCAAAGATATCTTTTATCGTTTCTTTCTTCTTTCTTGTATTCGCTTGCTTTACCTTTTAATTATTATTTTTTTCTTTTTATTTTTTTATGCTATTATTTATATGTTAAGATGGAAATATATATTTTTAGTATGTATAATATTGATTCGAAATTACGTTTTTTTATTAAAAAAAATTATAAAAATTATGAAAAAAAAAAGAATTCATCATTCATATAGGAAAAGAAAGAAAGAAAACGGAATCAAATGTATAAAATGTACATATTTTATAAATTATTTGTTCGTTACTTTATTTATAAATTAATTCTTTTTTTATTACGGAATACGCGTGATATTTTATGGAATTGTATCACGTGTTTTCTGAAATTATTAACCGAGGAAAGATCAGAGTGTTTGTTACGCCATCTAGCATTCTGTGATCGAAATATGTAAGCAAAATTAACCCTTCAAGGACGACATCGCTAATCTCTATTACTAAAACTCCATTTAATACAATACAATCGTAATTTTAAAACTGTTGCGTTCGCCAACAACTGTAAAAAAAATTTTCAAATTTGACTTCTTAAAACAAATCGCTACACGAAAAAGTGCATATCAAAGACTATAACAATTCCAATTTACAATCGATATTTGCACAAAGCTTATTTTATCTAGCTATCTATTTTAAAAAATACTAAAACGAGAATATCGATACATCCACTCTATGATTCTCACACATAAAATCTATGCTATTCTCATGCTTTAACTTTACGTGCCATTCTTTTAAAATCGATTGACGATGGAGATTATTGCGTAAAAAACAATAAAATTACATAAATGTTCATATAATCAAAAAAATACCGTTATTATAATTTAAGAGCAGGATTAATAATTATTAATTTTATTATCTTTAATCCATAATATGTAAGGAATATAATATCATTGTCACAAATTGTAATGGAATTAATTCTTGTCGATGGATTAAAACGTAATTCCACGGTCTAATACGCATAAAATATGAAAAATTCATAATTTGTTGTTATCCATCGCTGAAAAATTTTAATAAATATATCAACTATGGATCATCATATTCATCTTTCTCTTATCCAAATAACACCTGAATACGTAAGATCCTGGCAACAAACATTAAAATGATTGCATTAAAATAATAATACAATAACCTAACCTATTTTAAAAATTCATAATACGAACTAATGATAATTCTAATGATCAATTAGACGAATAAATAAGAAAATAATTATTCCTGAAAGAATTATTAATTATATCTAATAATATTCAACAAATAATTAAACGAACGTATATTAATGAAATATTAAATATAAAAAATAAAACAATAATTGTTAAATAAATATTACGAAATAGATAGTTCTTACACCTGAAGTAAGTGTTTAACCGTCTGGTTTCGACAACAAAATGACGCGAGCTATTTCGATGTCGAATTCTAAATTGGAAGGAGAGGGGAGATATATACTCGATGTCGAACGTGACACGAACGCGAATTATCAATTTCCCGGAAAGGCTGTATAAGAAATGTTTTCATGCTTTGGGACTTCATATGTAAAATCAAAACAAATACAGAAGTAACAATACACGAGTTAAATGTACGGATAACGCATTTAGAAAAGAAATATGTATATATATATAAGAATATATGTGAAATATGTGAATTGATTGTATTATATATGTAAAAAGAAAAATAAAGGAAATTTATAGTAATTATATTTTTATTTATATATTATATTTGTTAAAAAAAATAAAAAAACTTGCCACATCTGCATGAAAATTGTCGAATTATCTCTTAATTGTTGAAGTATGTAAGAATTATTACACTTTCAAAATTATCTCGCTTTCGAATCAAGCTTTTACAATCTGCACAAGATGTTTTGAATTCTGAAACAATAATGAGTAAATAAACTTGTATTGATTAAACAAGACTTTATAATCTATAATTAAGTTCAATAACCAATAATAAAATATCAAATCGATACAAATTTTATGTAATTACTCACTTTTGCCGGTAAAACGTAATTTGTCACGATTTTCAACAATGGATTAACACCATGCGCATTATGATGCGCACTGCATTCGTTTTGTCGCTAAGTCTTAGCGATTTTTTGATTGGCTGAAGCATTACTATTATTTATTTCATGCAAAAATTAAAATACAATATTTATATTTTAATCATAAATTTCTATACTTTAAAGTTTATACTGATTAAAAATGTAATAAGAATAAATTATTATAATTAATTTAATTTAAAAATTATCCAATATAAAAAATTAAAATGTAAAATTGAACGTTTAAAATAAAAAAATTAAAAAAAAATTTGTCAACGTAATCTACAATATATTCAAAACATAAAAAAAAAATACACAAATACATATAAATATATATATTAGTTTCATTATTTTTAAAGATCATTCTATCAAAATTTAAAATTATAAAATAAATTAGTAAATTAAGGAAGGATTTTTTTTTTGATTTGGTATTTTCAAAATAAAAAACATTTAATAAATTATAAAATAAATTTCAAGCTATGCATCAATCGATAATTAAAATTAAAATTGAAAACGTAATGAATTCTTCTTTAAGTAATATATAAGTATTTGCTAAATGTATAAATATGTACATATACATGAATAAGTTGTACTTGAATATTATATACGCATATTAAAATTATGATTTCTAAAATTTGATATAAATCTTAAAAATGAATATAAAAATGTTCACGTAATGTTCAAAAAGTTATATATCAGTGACATCTATCAATTTCTTATAAAAGTAAAATATATTATCTTGAAATGCATCAATTACATATTATATTTAAAAAATGACATTAAATTGTGCCAAACAATATTTTATACAAATTATTTTATTTTACACACTAATTTTATTGGTAAATTGCGACGAATTAGAAGCTCGTATTTCGTTAAATGTAGAAGGAACAGGATTTCATAGGTTATGTATATCAAAATACATATATATACATATATAGTAAGAATCTCTGTTATTCAAATTAATAAATAATTTATAACGATCATTAATGTAAGAATTTAAGAATATAATTAATTTCTGTATATAATATTTGTATATATAATATTCTATATAATTAATAATGTATTATTAAATTTATAATTTTCATATCATATTTAAACGAAGAAATTTAAGAATTTTAATTGTTAATTACATTTATATAAATATATTTTATCATAAATAAAAGTATATTTGATACATAAAATTTACATATTAACAGAAAGTATATATTTAGAAGATATAGATTTAAATACCGATAATTTATAAAAATTTATTAAATATTTTACTTTATTTTTAACAAAAAATTTTATTTACAGAAATTTAATATATCAAATATATATCAATCAATTCATAGAGGATTGTTACATTATCCTTTATTTGCAACTTCCATCTGCTTTATATGTTGATGTTAATGAATTAAATCATTTAAGAAGACTTGGAATTGTAAGTAGAATAATTTTTAATAATTTAATAAATCATTACAATATATATATGAAATTATTTTAATTCAAGTTTTATATCTTATATTATTATCTTTTTTAATAAGCATAAAATATTTTTTATATTTTTTATATTCAACCATTTCAGAGCACAGCATGTTCTAGCGGAGAAACCAATGTCGAATTATTCACTGAAAAAGCACAAATACAAAATATAAGTATTTGTTCACGTTTAACTAATATAGAAAATATCTTAAAACTCCCAGTACATCAACGTTATCGATATGCTAGTGTAAATGATAAATACATAAATATTAGCTTACCAGATCCAAAGTTGTTATTAGGCTGTAGAAAAAGACTCAAAGAATACAGAATTTCTAAAATTGATTTGTGTTCTCCATGCGTAGATATCGTACCTAAATGGAGAGAGATTCCATACGTGATGTTAAATAATAAAGTATATAAGAATATCAAAAATATATCTTATTTATATAACTTTATAAATAGAAATTTGTTGGAATTTTTAATTAATCTTTTTTACAGGATATGGAAAATGAATGGACAATTCCAATTGGTGAAACAACTATGTTACCTCTGGTAACTTATACAACATTGTTATTAACAATATTATGTACAATATTTCTTATACATACAATTTGGAAATCTATGCCTAGACAACATCTTAAGAGAGAATAACATATCTTAATTAAATATGTTGATGTATTATGATCATTTGTACTTTTATAGTAACAAATTTTTCTAAACTTGCATAAATACGTTCATACGTATTGTTCTTTAATTTAATAAATATTAAATATAATATTTATATATAACATAAATATTTATATACAATGCACATTTAAAAATCATATGCATTTACAAATAAAATAATGATACATTTTTCATATGTATTCACAAATAAAATAATGAAAATGATGATATTGAATTGTTCGATCACAGCATTTATAATACATTTTATTAGTAGTTATGATAAATATTTATACTGTCTGGCATCATGGTAACACCATCACGATTCTTTTTCTATAAAAAGTCATCTTTTCAATATTCTTTTTTTTGTACATTTCCATTCTCCACCGATGATTCGTTCGTAGAATTCATAGCGATATCTTTCTGTTTTTCTACAGGATCATTCCATGCTTGAATTTTACATGTACCAAAGACGATAAAAATTAAATTTCCAACGAAATATATTACACTCGTTAAAAAGAATACATTTCTCCATTCTTCAACATTAGTCTGAAAATTTAAAAATAATAAAAATTAATACATTTTATATTTTCACATTTATTATTTCGAATTATATTATTCAATTCTAATGTATTATATTACTCGTCAATATCGAGATATAATTCGCGTAACGTATTTCTTTTTTCATTTGTTGTATAAACAATATATGTATTATTCGAGAAATCAATGTTGAAAATATATCGTTTTATTAAATTTTCATATAATTTAGATATACGAATAATAAGTACATAAATTTTTTTAAAATAATAAGTACATAAATAATATATTATACATACCTTATCATGAACGATAACACCGACGATTAATGGAGCCAAAATACTAAAAATATTCGCTACGGTATTTATGATACCCATCAATGGTCCGGCAAAATTTGGACTAAGATCCATATGATTGACGTTGTGTCCACAATAAATAGCAACATTGCTAGTAACAGCAATTACCAAAATTGCCACTGCTATTTCAGAATGCTCTTTGTCAACATATCCAAGACCTATTAATGCGAGCGCTGGTACCCATTCACCGAACGTATTGCAAATCTTTCTCGATGCTTGAACAGTGAGGATATTTCGTTTGATAAGTAGATCCGAAATAAAGCTAACGGGAAAACTAAATAGCCAGGCTGTGAAGTATGGAAGTGCGCTCATAAGACCATTCTGAAACACGATAAAAAGTATACGAATTAATTCGAAGATTTATAATATAAATTTTTACTCGTGTTCTTTAATTATTATCAATAAAGCAAAAGATGTATAATTTAATTACGTATAGGAACCATAATCAATAAATTAAAATTAAAAATTATATATCGAACAATTTATCTTTTACTTACTTCTTTAATGTTAACCTTAAATACTGCTTGAAAATACGATGGGATTTTCGTTAAAAGCATCCAGAAACCCCAAGTGTGAGCAGATTGAGTAGCCATTAATGCCCACATTGGACGACTCTTAAGTATTTTGATCCAAGGAGTCGATAATTTCTGGAAAAATATATATATCATTAAATGTATATGCGATGATATCATATTTCGAATATATCAAATATTCTTACTTCTTCCGTTTCTATCATTCCAAGACTACTCTCGATATATTGTTTTTCATCTTGAGGTATATTTGGATGTTCGGCCGGTGACTCGTAACCAATGAAAAAGAACAAAAGACTGGAAACGATAGTTATGCTGCCCCAAACGTAAAAACAACTGGGCCATCCCCAAGGAGAAGCAGCCAATAGACCCGTACTCAGTAAACAAGTTACATTTCCGATCCAACCTCCGGCATACACGAATGTTGCTGTAATAAAATATACAATAAAATTTAACCAAAATTTAACAAAAATTATTATTCTATTTTTTTCATTCTCTTTTATTCTATTCAAAATAAAATAGATTCATAATTCTATCGAAAATGATAAAAATTGTAAATATTTTACTTATTTTCGAATTGGAAGATTAACAATAATAATCAAAATACTACCATATATATTTCATACTCCATACTCACATATTCTTCCTCTTTCTTCCATGGGTGCCCATTTTGAGAGCAATGCATGAAGACATGGAAGAACAGTGCCTTGAAATACACCGGCGATCACTCTAGTAACGCAAAACGCTTCCCATCCCGCGTTTTCGGCAAGCACGGGAATTAAAAGCGTTACGAAACCGCACGCGAATTGTGCTAGTGAGAAAAGTTTATGAGCTCCCCAACGTTGCGCCACCATGCTGCCAATGATTTGCGTGCACACGTATCCCCAAAAAAAGGAACTCTGAATTACATCCTTGACCTTTTCGTCCCATGAAAATTGCTTGAAACATAAAGAAACAATCCAAAGTTGGAAAAAATAATTTTCAAAAATGAAAGATAAAAATTTATTTTATCATCAATGGCAATCGTTTATTTCGACAATTTATTTCATGCTCAAATCTATTCATAATTGATAGAGTGATCGAGATAAAAAATAATAAGTGTTGAGTTATTACAAATTTAGTTTCATCTACAAAGTTTTTTTACGTTGGACAGTAGATCATGATTAAAATACGTACGTACATCTTCTAGTAGTACGGATACGTGATAGATACGTACAGTGAAAAAAAGATCACTTTTCGATACCGTAAGCATCATTTTTAAGAAGAAACTTATCGAATACGAAAATGAGGATCGCGTCAATCGCAATTCGTATGCATTTGCGAACATATTTTATATTAGAAGTAAGAAGAGATAGATATTATAAAAATAGTCTTATCGATCGATGATGCATTTTAAGATCTTTCGTTTACTTAAGATACGATAAAAAAAATGATGCATTTAAATAGATATATATCGAAAAAGATTGTTAAAACCATACGTGAAGTAAAACCATACGTGATATATATTATACAATTATTCTGGAATAATTAACAAATGGACAACGAATACGAATGGTAAGCAGACTCAAAAATGAGAAAATAATCATACTGGAAAAGCAGGATTTGCAGTGGAAGCATTGGTCATAGCTTCTAGCGTCACCGATGTGGTCACCCTAATGGCATAGCAACAGAAGAAACCCAAAGCCATCAAAATGCCCTGCGTGTGTCTACATCCATACGATGCTGTAAATTATAAATTAAAACGTTTATTAAAACAGATTATTATAAAATTAATTAGAAAATCGTTTATTCCTTTAGACGTTAAATATATATGTAAAAGTAAAATATTGTGATATTTATAATGTTTTATCAAAAAGCAAATGGCACAACGTACATATTGCCACGATTAATCATCGTATATTCTCGTTGAACCGAGGATGATTAAGATTAACGACAAACAAGATTACATACATAAGATTTGTGAGTTAGAAGTTTCCTAAAATTGAAAAAAACTTAATATCTTTCGAAATTTTCTTCTCGACTTTTTCACCTTTTCCACCGTTGTAATCGACATCGATTAAATTATTTTAAACACAACAGTTTTATCACAAGTTTAACTTTTAAAATAATCTATGTACATCTATTTTTGTACACTCGTGTTAAAATATTCGAATATATCTTTTGTTTAAAAAAAAAAGTTTATGCGATGAAAATACGAAATAAATGTTTTATTTAAATTTTATAATAAATATCGAAATAATACGAATAACGATTATCACTATAGATTATTCTAATGTCTGAAATAACATACAAATATATCGAGGAAAAAAAAAATCATTCCAAGAAATTGATTCTAATCTTAAAGCAGATATATGACAAGATCGATTTTTATTTTAGACACACAAGAGAATTGAACGCATCGTTACTCGAATAATAAAAACTTAGGAAACGTGGAAAACGATAAATATTTCTGCAGATCATTCATGGAATTCCCCTTGTTACGAAAAAATTCTAAAAATTCGTGATACGGTATTTATATAATTCCAATTTAATTTGTTTACTTATTATTCTTAGACTCAAACAATAATACAAAAAATCGAAGAAATAAATTTTTTTTCTCTCATTAATGCTTTAATAATGGTTAGTGATTAATCATGCGAATAGTGTGAATTATGCATGAGCATTAAATACGCGATATCTGTGTGTGTATATATATATATATATGATACATTTTTTCTTTATAAAAAAAAAAAAAATAATATTGTTCTATATAAGAACATATCAAATAAAGATAATTATTATATAAATCACGATAAATGTCTTTGAAACAACTTTATAAAAATTTAGAAAGTTGTAGTCTCGAAGGATAAAATGTTGAAAGTTTTAAAGATATTCGCTTGCACGTGCTTTTCACGCGGTCTATCATCGCACGCGCGATTACACTTATTCACAACATTTCGATGTCGTAACATGATTCTTTTTTAAATTCTTTTCTATTTTTTTTTTTTTTTTTTTTTTTTTTTTTTTTTTTCTTATTTATTTTGTTCTCTCGTAAGAAATCGAAATAAAAAACGAGTTACACATATTTATCTGAGAAAAAGATATTATCTGTCTTTTAACAACAGTTTTTTATTAAACTTTTGATTGATCGAAATTGAACTTTATTTACGAATTCAGAGATTTCGAGATAGAAATAGAGAAAGCTTCGTTCGAATTATAGATACATCTTATACATTCTTCTGTTTCAAAATTATTTGTATTAATCAATAGATAATTTAATATCGTATCTAAATGATACATGTTGCATGTTTTAAATCGTGATTTATATCTGTCGGTAGCTTATTCGATAATGTTATCGTGCAATCGAATCGCAACCGTTTTAAAAATGATGATACGATTTACAAGCTTCGAAAGCTAAACACTCGAAGCGAGACGGCGTTGCATTTTATATTTCTCGCGCAACGCTCGGGATCTCGAACAATGCGGAGAGAATGCGGACGAGTATTCGTTCATTCCACATTTCTAGGACATCGCGAGAAATCTGACATTGACGAGCATGTTGCCGTCATGTCTTGGAATTCGTAACGATTCGTCACGTATTTATGCCACGCACGTTGCACAAAACACACTGGACGTTCTTAAACGTCCTCGTAATTAAACCAACATTTAATATATCCTCGGCCAGAATTTATAAATGATCGCGAAAATACGATATATCGATTTCTTCAATGAAACGACTCTCTTCTTACTTTCATGCGTGCGAAAAAGTGTACAAAAATATTTTCTGTATTTCGTGCACGAAAATTATTCCATCTATCGAAGCGAATATCCACGAGACGAGGCGAGAATCCGAATAAATAATTTTCATCCGGTTAATCGATAAAAAGAGAGAAAATATATTTAAAAAATGACGATAAACGAACGTTTGATCTCGAAAGACGAAATCGTACGAAAGGGATGCGAGGAAAATCCGTTGATGAATGTGGATGAAATAATTGCGCGAGGGAGCGGGAGAAAACACGTGAGAAACGCGATCTTATAAACGAGGGCAAACGTCACCGATCTTTGCACAAGCCGCGACAAATCAAATTTATATTCGATCGATAATCGCGATTTATCGCAATTTTCGTCCGGTTTTATCTCTTCAAACGATCTTATTATCGAAAATATCTTATACTTGTATCTCTATCTACGTAACGATGTTTCCAACGTGTTGTTTCCGAAATTGTATCCGAAAATTACGTACGATCGTGTTCCTTTATTCGACTCGATAACTCGATCACGTGATATTTATAAATGAAACGAGCGGATAAATAAAGAGAATAAAAAAAAAAGGTACCTTTAGGCTTAGACACAGGTGTCTGTATCCGTTCCGAGATGGAAACGATGGACACCCTTTTCGTCATACGGAAAGTCATGTTTATTAACCAATCGATATCCGAACGTGTACACAAGTTGTAAGGTAGCGTCGTCACAAAGTAACAAAGTAAATCGCAAAAAAGACACTACGATCCCTCGATCGATCGATCGTGGTTTTATAGTCCATCACCGAAAAGAGTTTCTCCCACTCTTATTTTTCAACTTGCACGTTCTGCATGCGTATACACAGACAATAGTATATTATCACGTTTCTCCCTTATCTAATTGAAAAATTTTATATATTATATATATATGTGTGTATGTATGCAATGTATATATTATATATATATATATGTATATAATAGATATTTCAAAACATTATTTATATTACCATAATAATTAGAAAATATCTAACAAAAAGGAACGAATGTTTCAAGGAAGAACAATTTATGGAGAGATTTCATGGATTGATAGAATGATAGAACGGTATTGACAAAGCGAATGTTACGATACGAGAGTCAATATTCTTGATTACGCACTACGTTTGACTAAGCACTTTTCGCTTTTTACTTTTTACTTTTCGAAACAATATTATCGATATTATCGAATCAATTTTAATTACGCGAATCGAACACGTTTCGATAATATCTACATATAATTCGAATCACGATTTTTCTCAAACCGTTTCGTTACGTTTCACAAACCGGACTGAACCTCCTACCCCTACCCTTGTTGACTCGTTACAAGTTTTATTCCATTTCATTCCTATAATTATTATCTTAACCAATAATTGTTTATCGCAATAACAAGTGCAATGAACCATCGAACATAACCGTTCTTTCGCGATATAAATACAATAAATGGAAACAATGTATTTATTCATCGGAATGAAGATGTAATAGAGCAAAAATCGAGTTGTTAAAAACGAAAAATTTTGCATTTATATGTACATAAAATATATGCATCTTTATTCTTTTTTAAAAGATATATGTACATCGATTCGAACGTATTAATATCAAGCGTAAAAATTCCAGAAATTCTCGCACATGTATCAAATTGTAAATATCATACACATTACTCTGTACATACACTGTATACGTATATAGAATAAAATTGTGGATACAATAACATGCGTAATCCATCATCTGATCGAATGATGGATCGAACGAGATGGGTACACAGTACCTATATTAAATGATATTGAATGATAATTGAATGAATCTAAT